GACGCTCAATGAAAATCTGCTGTGTTTTCCTGAAAAACACATGGCTAGGTCCTCTTGACTTTACCCCAGCTGCAGATTGTACTATCTATAGCAAAACCACATGGCAGGGTGGTAGGAGTAGATCCACAGCTGCCACTTAAAGCCCAGAACTTAAACACAGAGCAACTCAGCAGCCAAGTGTTGGGATAAAACAGAAGTCGAGTTTCTGAGAAGAACACATCTTTGAAGCCAGAAATATGTAGCTGGAATTCTGAACTCACCTACGCATTCACCCCTGATTAACCAAGAACCAAAGATGCAGCTTGATCCAGGCACCAGAAGGATGAAGGCAGTGAGCACACTTGTGACTTCACTACAACCAACAAACCACCCTCCCTTGCACTCCAGAGATGAAGAATTTATAACCAAATTTATAAGTACGGATCCTCCACTGCATTTTCTTGCTTAGTATGCTGGAATTTGCACTCCAGAAGCAAATCTCCTTTTGCAAGTTTTACGTCCACACAGGGGTCAGGGACTGCTTTCTTCTTGTCCAAACTCTGATCGGGTCTTGCCCAACAGAGCTGTGCTGGAGGGAGATACTAAGTAGGTTTGTATTAGCTCAGTCCAGGGGAATGGCAGGCTATCTGTGTTCATGACTGGCACAGGTGACAACTTGTATGCTCACCTCTGACCAAAGAGAAGGCTTCTACCTTTAACCAATGATGTTGGAGTTCAAATGTTGAACTGTCATTCTGTCAAAGGCAGATTTCCAATAATTTACAAAGGAAGGAGGAAAATCATGGTGATTTACCAGGTCCTTCTCTCCTTTCCACCATTCAACTCAACTCATTTCCTTGATTTGCAAATAGGGAAACAAGCCTTTCTAGCCATTGTTAACTCCTTCCACTACAAGTTATCTTCCTCTACAGATGGTATGACCCACATCCTGGTATTGGTATGTCTCTAAGACAAAGACAAAGTCATCTGTCTCAAATGTGGGGCTAGAGCAGCCAGGCTGCCTCTGTTCTTCTTATTCTTCATGGGCAAGAGTCATTTGCATGGCAGACTGGCAGATCTATAAGCAGTTAAGTCGAATGCTTGAGAACTGTTGGGATTGAAGGGGGTTGAAAGGGCACCTGATCCAACGTCAGCCATCTGACCATCTGGCTGACATCAGCCTTTGCTTGAACCCTTGTGGAGATAAGTGTACATTCATTTATTTGTGCACCTCTTCCTGTATCAAAGCCTTGGTGGTGGGCAGGATGAAGGATGATTCAGTTTTCTGCATTCTGACTCCAGGGTCTTGATGTCTTTGGTATCCTTATCCTTTTCCTGGACAAACTACCTTCCTCTTCCTCCTTTTTCTTTTTCTTTTTTTTTCCTCAGGAGTCATCTCCTCCTATTTCTGCCCAACAAATAAGTCTTGAGGTAGAAGCTTGATCCTTCTCTTCTGATAAAGATCAAAATTGTTCTTTCCTTCTGTATGCCTAGGGAGGGCTGGACCAGAGCCCTCTTTTGTCTTCTTGAAGGAATGGGATTTCCCATTCTGACTCTAGGACTCAAAGGTGTTTAGCCTATAATCCAGATATAGTCTTGGCTTTACTGAGAAAAGGTGGGCTCTGGTTTGACTCTTCTGGTTCCCCCAGACCGGTCACATGGCCTGTGGCTGCTGCCCAAGTCTCGACATACAACAGTTGTTGGCTTTGCCACATCAGCTGTCTCCTAACTGGGTCGACTTTCCCTGCTGTTCCCTGCTGCTCTCAGCTCTTCTTTCCTCCTGAGCTGGGCCCCCGGGGGCTCTGGCCCTGGGCCTCCCGTCCAGTTCTTGCCCCACTCTGCAATCTGAGCTAAGCTCTGAGTTTCTTTTTCTTTTTTTTTTTCTGAGTTTCATCATTAACATCCTTCTCCGCTCTCACTGGTTTCCTGCCTCTGGTCTCTGACCTCAGTTCTCAGATGGAGAACTTAGGCTTGAAAACTTTATCAAGCACCTGCTGACTGCACATTGCAGGTTTAGTTATTTGTGAGGAGCCAGGGGGAGAGGGGTGCTGTCAGGAAGCCAGGTTAGGATGAAACCAGATAAGAAACCATCTTTTTCTAGAGCTGGGGCAGCCACGGTCAAGATGGTCAGCCACAGCCTGATAACTCCCTGCACACACAATCCCACTGCTCACTATTCAGGGGAAGCTCCTGCCAGAAAGGGTTCGACTGACATGTCAGAAAATAGGACGGAAGCTTAAGCAGTTTTTATTACCGCCTCCCCCGCTATCATAGCAGGTTTCCTGGTGGTACAAACATCAATGTCTATGGCCTTCATGGCAAACTCCAGGTGTGCAATCCCAGAGAGGGACCCAGCTCCAGGGCATGAAGAACACTCAGCTACTCAGCAGTCTTTCTCTACCAGTGACCTCAGGGCATGTGGAGACAGCACAGGCACCCAGAGACTCCAGCCAAGACTGCAAGGGTGTTGTGCCTGGTCCATACCAGAGTGTCAGCCAGCTGTGTCTTTCCTAACATGGTTACAAAGCATAAGGCCGGGACTTCCCAAGTGGGTAGCTTCTTGCGGGGAGTTCAGAGAACTTTGACCTACCTTGTCTCCTGGGATCATCACAACCACCCTAGGCGGTGGGCAAGGTGGGGTGTTCTTAACCCCTCTTAAGTGACGAAGAAACCGAGGCTTAGAAAGGGAAAGGGAGAGCTCAAGGTAACAGAGTAGGGCCAGGTAGGAGGGGTGTGGACTAAACACTGGATCCCCTAACCACCTCAGTCCTCAATCCACTAAGCCATACCCAAGACTTCCAGAGGCACTGGGACGACACTGTCCCAGAAGAAAGGACTTCCCAGCAACGTCCCCACCTGGCCAAAGCAAGCGCACCATGCAAAAGCATCTTCACACCCACCACAGACAGCTGCCCCGACCTCCTTCAGCACAGATACGGCGCAGGCCTCCTCCACTGACACTGTGCTTGCACAACACAAACCTTAGCCCTCCAACCACCAAAAAGCCTTGGCAGAAGCTCAGGGGCAGGCCTGACTTCATCACGACAGCACTGAGGCCACAGAGCCAGACCACACCTAGGCCAACCTCAGCCTCAAGCGCGCTGACCTGCTCAGAGCACCTTCCACCTTCCTGTCTCATCAAGACCACAGTCTACCTGGGTTTGGGCTCTTTTCTGACCGTTCGTTAGAAACTTTCTGCCCCTTGTCCATCTCCAGACTCAACCTCCTTCCTTGGTTGTTGAAGTTCACATGCCAGTGAATCAGCCAGCAAAAGCCCTCAAGCAGGACCGCCTTTTTCCTACTTTTCAGTGCCTAATGCCTCTCCTACCAACCTCAGGAGTTCCGTGGTATCTACAAAATATATCCATCCTGCCATCCACACAGCACATGTTATGAGCCCAGGTTTGGAAACAGTACTCTCCTTCTGTTGCCATTTGCTGATCTCTTGGGAACTCCTATTCCAAGCATTCCAAGTATGGAAAGGAAGAGGTGTAGCTAGCTGGGCAATGAAGGTGTTTATTGTTCAGTGGGAAGGGAGGGCCAGCTGTGCAAGGAGTGGAGTCTGAGGCAAGGTGATCAAGACACCCCTGGCCTCCCATGCAAGCTCAGGCCCATCCCCTGGAAGTGAGGAAATAGCAAGGAGATTACCTCGGTTACAGATGCTGCAGAAGTTGCTGGGTCCCTCACTGTGCTTCTTCAGGTGGTCTGCCATGTACGCTGCCCGCAAGTACTTCCCACACACCTGGCAGGGCACCTTATCTTCATGACAAGCCAGGTGGGAGCGCAGCCGGTCTCGAGTGGCGAAAGAAGCATTGCAGGTCTGAGGGCAGAAAGGAAAACAGAATGAGGTGAAAACTGGCATTCCACTCCTGACTCCCCACCAAGCACACCAGGAAACAATGTTTTGGACCAACACATGGAATCCCTGTATAAAGAGAGCTGAATCCCTGTATAAAGAGAGCTTTACGTGCTGCCCACACTTTCTCCCCAGAATGGCAAGTAAGTTGCTCTTATTTCCCATGATGCCCCCTCATGAGACACTTGAGTTGGAATTCTTGGTTCCAAGTGGTTACTACAACATGCCCAGAACATGGTACACTAAGTTTCACACTCCTTTACAAAATAAAGATGAGGCATTCATTCATTCTTAAACATGAAGAACTGACTTTAGTTGGACGGACTATAACTGAACTTACAGAAGTAAATTGGCATATGAACAGACCAGTCTTCCTGTTCTCCATCCTGGATTTTCCCTACTTGCTTTATACAAAGAATTCAATTTATCCACTTTATTCAAAAGTGACGTTAGTCTTGGCCACAGGGGAATGAAAGCGAAGGCAGGACAAAGCACAGAAATTACTCCTTGTAATATTCTTGTGAGTTTGTATTGAGAAAGCAGCCCATAAAATGATAGCACGTTAGCAATTCTGCTAACGTGAGAATTAGCAGAGAGAAAGAAGGCCACATGATTCAGAAGCATTTATGATGTCAAGCTGGGGAAGTGCTGGTAATAACAAGAATGATACCACCCCACATTGATCTAATACGCATTCTATGCCAGGCAGGCACCATGGTTAGCCTTTCAGAGACACTGATCCCATGCAATCCATCCTTATAGGAGCCCTCTGAGGCACGCTGGTTCTCACTCTCAAAGAGTGTGGCCATAGAAAGCTGTGGTATGAGCACCAAATCCTAGCCAGATCCCAGGAGCAGATGACTCAGGAGCTGTGGGTCAGCACCAGAGCCCTGGGAGGCAGCCCCAGGTCCTCAGGTATTTCCTATACCTGAGGGCTTACTTGACTCAGTCTCAGTCCCTGACCTCCCCACAACAGTCCTTCCTCATCTGGAGGTTTGCTCAGGTACTCCAGCCTTGGAGGTCACAGAATGTCAGGGAAGTCCTTGAGGGAGTTCAGTCTGGAGAGTTTAAAAACTATTTGGATTCCATGGAGATGTTTCAGAGTTTCACGTTAAGTTTGATTCATTGTTCTATGTGTGTATGTGTGTGTGTTTAACTATTTTAGAACTCCCAAGAGAAAGCAACATTCACCTTCAGAGCAAATGTTAACCTACTGAAGACCCACCACCCCATTAGGTCACTAGAATGGAGCTGTTCCTGCTAACAGAAGCACTTCCTGAGATCCCGAGACCTCGAGGTAAATGTCTGAACGCCATTACCACGTACAAATGTTTATCTCCTTACTGTACATGCTCAAAGTGAGAAACCAGTGTATGCGATACTGTGGAGGCCAAAGATGCTGCTGTTCCTACTCCAATCCCCAATGTCTGTGTGCATCAGGACAGGCTCTCTGGCTCTCAGTCATTGTCTCTTAAGAAATGGCTGCATATCTGAACAGAACACCTTATGCTAATGAAATACTGCCTTTATCTGTTTTACACATTGAGTTTATTCATTTGACAAATGAGGAAACTGAGTTTGGAGAATGATTTGCCTGAAGTACACGACTCAGCTGCTGGCCAGTACCCTGCTTCCCCTCCCAGCTTCCCTGAGGTATTTGTCCCTTACCACTTTATAGCCAGGCGGACAGAGGCCGAGAGGGGATACAAGATGGCTGGAATATGAACCAGCCCCTTGTGCCTGTGCTCTGCCCATTTCCAGACTCAGCAGGGATAGCTTCTGGTGAGGGAAGGGTACTTATACTTTCTAACACAGTGCAGGGTGGCCAGGACTCCCCAGAAAGGGAGAGGTGACAGCATTTGTGCAGAGAAACTCGAACACAGGTGACTTAGGAAACATCATAGGCACTTGGGTCTTGGGCACAGGTGGGCCCCTCCTCAGTCAGACTTCTGGACCCAATCACCAGCAAAAGTGTGTGTGGGGGATTCCATCTTCCACCCAGCCCACCTGCCTGTAAACCAGAGCAAGGGTGCCAAAAACACCCCGGGGAGAGAGGGGTACACCTGACAATTATCTGGGGATAATTTGCCAGCTTTGCCAACCAGTGACCTGAGGACCAGCCCTCCAACAATGAGAGGCAGTGTGGTCAACGCCTAAGATCTCAAAGGAACCAAACATGGACAAGGTGTAAGAAATGTGAAAGCACACATTCAGAATTCCAACTTCTGTGGTCCCTGGGAGAGGCGCCACTAGAAGGATGTGAAAGCGATGCCTTGTTTCTCCTGCCAACCTCCTTTGGGGTCTGTCCTTTAAAGCACAGCCTGTCATATTGTGCTACCTAAAGATAATGGACAGCCAAACTTCAATTATCCACAAGTGGATTATCCATTTGAGGGATTAGCTAGGCAAAATTAAAATCTCAGACCAAGCCGACTTCCCCCACCCCCTCCCTCTTCCATTGATTATCTCTGAAGGAATGAAAGCTAACTTTACCCTGAGCAAACATAATTAGGAATGTAAATCTGCTGCTGGGGAAAAACCTCCCACAAACACAACAAAAACTTTCACTATATTACAAAGCCAAGCTGGAGTTGGCTTCTCTGTGCCAGAAGTGACCCTTCATGGCTACAGTCCCTAGAGTTTTGGTGGGGAATTGTCAAAGTGTAAGTCCGAGTCTAGGCCTGTCAGAAGTTTAGACAACACAGAACATAAAGAGCTTGGTCACACAACACAGAAGAGTGGCCAAAAGAGAGATCTCAAAGAAGGGGATACCTAAAATCTATATACTGGGGGAACTCGGGAGAAAGGCGCTTCTCATCCTGGAGACAGAGAGAAGACAGTGCGACCCTGATGGGACAGGAGTGGGCCAGCATAGCATGCTCTGATCACCACTGATGTTTGGAATGGCCACCACCTCCCCCTCGGCCCTGTGCACAGACAGCCTGTTGTTAGGAGCACATCTGCCAGGTCCCAGCCCAGCCACCCTGAGCTTGGGTCTCCTCTGATCTTTCCCATTCAATACTGAGTCCCAGCCATACTCCCTTCACTCCCCTAACAGTTTCTCCCCATCCCAGAATTCCTAAAGCTTTTCCTCCCCAGGGTTAAGCAACTCAGGAATGGTGCCCAAATGGTATCAGGGCCACTAGTGCACAGCCAACCTTTGGTGGCTTTTGTGGGGGGATGGGGGTGTGGTCTTAAGCAGTCTTTTTTATAGCCCTGGAAGAGTAAAGGCAATACATGGAGGCCCAAGGCCATTGGCCTCGCTGGTCCCTTTCTTCTTGGGGCTGTCAGCTCCCTTGTTCCCAATTCAATTAATCCCTTCTCTAATGAGCTACCCCAGCCCAAACCATCCCAACTAGCCCCTGAGAAGTGAGGCCACTACAAGTAACAGGAGAGGTCTTGAGTTGCTCTAGTCTCTTGGCTTCAGGCTGAACTCCATGTGGGGGAGATGGCCCAGCCCCATTGTAGTTATTAGGCTAGCAGTGCCTGAGACATCTGAGCCAGTGAGGGGCACTCAGGCCAAGCCCTGGGGAGATGTGTGTGTCACTGCCAAGCCTGAGGCTTCATGCCCCGACACTCAGATGGTCTTTTCACTCAAGCTGGGGCACCAGTGTCCATAACTGGCCCCTTCTGTCATCTGTGGTATTAGGAGGGGTGGAGAGGTATAGCTCGGGCCCAGCTCTTACCCAGGGAACCAATGCCCAGAGAGCTATCTCTTCACCTCTGATGCTTTCAGAATACACACCATGTAAAACTCATGCCCCTGTTGTTTAACCAAGCCCAGGCACACTGGCCAGCCAGCCCAGACAGCCCAGCATGTCTGCACCTGCTGGCTCATCCTTAGGGGAGTTCTGGCTAATGGGGCTGGAGGTAGGGGCTGCAGGTCTGTAAATGTTGGAGGAGCAGGGCAGGAGTGGGCTCGTTACGTACACCAAGGGACAATGATGTCAGTGTTATGACAGAGATCAAAGACAAAACACACAAAGCCTCAAATGTTAGAATGAAAACTTTTATCATCACTCCTGTGACCCCCGTGGAGGCTGGGGGCAGGGGGCTAAAGGGCATATCACTGGGATCTAAGGTGGGGTCTACACCTGCTTTATCAGCCCCCAAAACAATATACTGGGGTGATCCAATATAAAGCTACTGGTTAGTCTAGTTCCTGAGCAGACCTGCTAATAAACCTCAAAAACACAAAAGTCTAACTCACTAGCCAGAAATAAAAGCAGGACCTGTCTGAGTGGGAAGGGACAAGGGCGGCACAGGTTGACCCAATCTCCTCTGGAGGGGGACTCATCCTTAGAGGAGGGAGGGGGATAGCCAAAGCCCACACCTTACGGGAGGTGATGCTAAGGGAGGGAGAAGCACGTAAGCCCGTGACTTAGTTCTTGGGAAAGCACCAACCCCTAAAATCACCCAGGCAAGGACAGATACCTAGGGGTGCCAACTGTTAAAGGGGGGAGAAAAAAGCAAGAGAACCCAGAAAGAAACCTACAGCCTGTGGGGGGACCCAGAAAGGAGCTCCTTACTACCCCTGGGGTCCCTGAGCTGGGAAAGACTACAAATCACACAGGAAGGAGCTGGGCATGGTGGGCAGGAACCATTTTGCTGGCCTCTCCCAAAAGCAGGGGTCTCAGAGCAACCGCCATTCCCGTTCCCCTCCACAGAAAACCCTCTCTGGGGAGGCCCCGGCTAGCCTACAGGCCACTGGGTAAAGGCCCGGCTGCCCTCTGAGGCAGTCCAGCCCTGCCTCAGATATCCCGGCGGGGCTGGGCAGAAGAGAGCGCTGCTGGAGTGTGCTGGGCCCAGGTTTTCGAGGGCTGGGAATGATTTTTTTAGAGAAAGGGAAAAGGCGGTGTCAGGAACCGAATGGGACGACCTCCACAAAGCAGGCTGGGCAAAGTCCCATGATGGCAGGTCGCTAGGAAGAGATTCCAGGGGCGGCAGGCCGCTGCTGCTCCCAACCCACACCTGGAAAAAGGGCAGAGAGTGCAGGTTACCCCCCTCGGCCACCGGGCTCACCCCCACTGCCCTCTGGGCTCCTCCTACTCTGCCAGGCTGCTCAGCACACTACCTGGGAGAGTCACAATGTGCTCTGTGATGAGAGACTCAGAGACAGAGAGAAGGCAGCAAGGCACAGATGGATCCCAGCATGCCCACCCTAGGTCATTGTCCTCAGGGGAGGCCGCCTGGCTGGCTGTGAACAGCATCCACACCTGGGCCCTGGGGGCTGGCTGCCCTACCTACAGCACATCCGTTCCTCCCTGCAGGTCTCCCTGAACCCCTCCCTCCTTGCCACCAACAGGATAAGAGAAGCACGTTACTCTACCAGAAGCTATAACAAGCACCCCCCCCTACTCTCTCCCCCTTGGATGGCGGGAACGTGGCAGGGGAGGGAAGATAGCCAAGGAGAAGATACAGGTGTTCCACACAGGAATGCTCAGTGGCCAGGAGAGGAAATTCAATTTCCTGGGTACCAAAGGGCCCCCAGATACTGTTGAAACAGACACACCAAGGGTGAGACTTTTGCCCAGCCTTCCCTGCTACACAGAGCTCACCAGGAGAGGAAACCACCTTCCTCTCCAGTCCTCAGAAGCCCTGGCTGCTTGCACACATGGCTCAGATGGGTTAAACAGGTGCCAGTGAACGAGACCATTCACTCTTGTCCTCCTTTGCTGTCATTCCCACTGCCACCCCTCATGCCCTGAACTCAGGGGACCCCAGAAAGTCAGCCTGCCTGGCTGACAAGGGAAAGAGCTGTTAGCTGGACCACCAGGAGCTCTTTACAAACCCTTCCCTTTCCGCAGTGGCTCCTGCAAACTGCTGGGAACCAGAAGCCAGGCCCAATGGGGAGCCAGTGCCCCCAGGACGACACTTGTGCAACGTGGCCCACCGTCCAAGGAGCTGGCAAATGCCAGGAGAGGAAAGCCAAGCAAAAGAGCGAAGACAGAGACAGGGTGGGAACCAGGACCCAGCAACCAGGAAGGAGGGACATCAGCGGTGGGGGGGAGGGGGCCAGGGGGGAAGAACAAAGGAGGAAAGCATATGGAGGCTGGAGGGACAGAGGGGGAGGTGTGCACAGCAGTGGTGGTCAGTTAGCGGCCCAGCACACACATCAGCTGGCTTGTGGCTGGGCTGGGAGAACAGCAGCATTCTCTTTCAGCCCATCTCGTCCCGGCCCCGACCCCTACCTGACACTTGTGAGGCCGCTCAGAAGTGTGCACCTGCTTGATATGTCCATTCAAGTGATCAGGCCTGGAAAAGAGAACCAAGAGACACTTTAAAACAAGACCTTAAAAATGGGGCCAGAAACCTGGCCAGACCCCCGACCCCTACCTACCTACACACACACACATACCCCCCCCCTTCCCATGGAGAGGACTCCCTCTTCCCCATCCCATCCCAACAAAGACAAAGTCACCACCCAGCTCCACAGGCCCAGGCCTCTCTGCCCTGTTTTTCTCTAGAGGGGGAAGGGAAGTGAGTGTTTGTCTCTGACCTTGCCTACCCATTTCCCCCCCAACCCCCACCCCCAGAAGCTCAAATGATTTCTGGGACCAGGGGAGGTGGCTTTAGAATGAGACAAGGCTGCACTGCAGCCTTTCTGGAAGGGGGTATGTGTGATTCATTGTCCAGACTAAAGCCCCTTAGAAACTGAGTGTTCCCCTCCCCCAGCCTCTCCCACCAGGGCAGCCAATGAATGCCACCCGGATGGAATTC